ACACGACGCCAGATTCCCCATCTCGGTCGAGCATTCCTTCTCTTTCTCCTCCATTTTCGCGGCTTTTGACGACGTTATCAGTGCCATTAACATCATCAGCGTTGCCATTTTCTGGCTTGCGTTACCCATGTTTAGCGTTTGCGATTGGCGTTTGGAGTTATGTGTTGTGTGTTTGGCGTTTGCGGTAGTGGTGTTTGGGGGGCTTACATATATAGGGAGAGAGTTGGGTTGATCGTTTATTAGATTCCTCCGCTTTTCGATGCGAAGTTATAGACGGGGAAGATTTTAGAATTGAGTGAAGCAAAATTTAGGAAAATAGCTAAAAAAAATTCGACTTGTATAAAAATTGTGAGTATTTGCGAATTGAAGAAACCTAATTGGAAAACCATTCGTATATACTTAAAAATGGAAAGCATATAACGATATCCATTGATAAGTTGTAACTATAAAAAATTAATTGAGTATATATATTAAATCAAAAGAAAAAAAAAATATTAATTGAGTATAAATATTAAATAAAAAAATAATTATTTCTAGACAACTAAAAAATATCTAAAATACCCTATTTTTGTTTAAACTATTTTTACATGTACAATTCTCCAGATCTCTAGATGTGATAATGACCATAATGATAGTATAGTCATATGTTGATCACATTGATCATGACATTAATTTTATGACGGTTTCACTCAATTATTAATTTGATATATAAGGTGTGATCATAATAATTTCGTGTGATCAGTATAAATGTAACGTCATGACTAATGCGATCATATTGTCATTCTGATTAGATGGTTATGAAAGAGAGTATCAGAAAAAGTAATGTTAGAAAAAAGATGGTATATTTGATAATACTTTGACTAAAAATATATAATATTACTAGATTCTAATATCGTATACAAACGAGCTTAAATTTAATCATTTTAAATTAATTCACATAAGATTAACAAAATTTAATATTAATTTAGATGCTTTTTACAATAAAAGCAAACTAATATTATGTATTTTTTTTATCCATATTCCCGTTAATAATTTTTTATGAATCGATGCGGACGAAGGACTAGGTGGTATTTAATAATATTTAAGACGTTGCACATTATGTTGTAAGAAGGACGTTTTTTTTTTCTCTGTCTATAAAAATTTGGAAATAATAAATTGGGGAATGTATTAAAGACACATTAAGAGATTGAAAATGGAATGCCTTGAGAAACGTTATATTTCATGTCCCGAGACATAATCTCTGACCTCTCTGAATCCAGAAGTTAAATAGATTCTGCTAAAATTATTATAAGCTCTATCACGCGCAAAAACTCCGGTTTAATTTAAATATGTAAATTTGAAGAAATCTAATCTACATAGCAATTTTAACTAAAACTTAATGAAATATATTTTTAACTAAAACTTAATTAAATATGTTTTTAAAAATCAAATTACTCTAATTTGAATATAAAAATTAGAAGACAAACCTCTTAGTTATTTTGATTATAAACGGTTCCGTTATTCAAAAAATAATCAATTGATTATTGAAATGATATTACCGATGGATTCGATTTAGTTCAGTTATTTAACTGAATAAAATCGATTAACCGATTATTACCCAAATAATCTAAGATTTTCTTTCTTTGAATTTTTCTAATTTCTTCATCTCTTCCATACTCTAGTTTCAAACCCTTGTATTTTGTTTGCAATATATTTTTTTAATACATTTTAGAGAAAATTCCAAAAAAAAGCAATGTATGTATATACAAGTCACCTAATTTATGGGTTTCACGATACGGAAAACATAAATAAATCAAACAATACATACAATCTATATGTGTGTTTGTTTCAATCATTTCTTGGTTGAAAATGTTTGTAGAGATGACTTCAAAGAATATGCGAAGCTTTGATTTGAAAGATTTGGAGACAGAGGTAAGAGAACAGTGTATTGGCTATTAACTCTTTGTAATGAAAGAGTTAGATAGTCACACCCGTCTCAAATTTTGTTGGGGCCATCTTCATTTTATAAAATTTAATGAATAAAATTTATGATTTACATATTAAAAATTATTAATTATTTAATCTAAAGTTGAATTTGAAGTAATAATAACTTAATGATAAAAACAAATTTCGAAGTCTAATTAATTTTCTATTTTTTATAACTTAACGATAACAATTAATAGCAATAATTATTTTTTTCAAAAGTGGTCCGTTGCACCACTTGCTTGCTAAAAGGCGGACCCTCTATGTAAGAATACATAGCACATAACCATTTTCCGCGAAATTAAAACACAACATTTCAGGTTCATGGATCCCCCTATCAAAGGCAAAGGGTCACTACCCGACCATCATGAAGAAAATGGTAGGACAACGTCTACCAAGATTCAATGAAACTAAAGCTTTGCTTGTTAAGGGATCATTGGAGTGAATTATTACATGACACTATTCGCGATCCATGTCCCACAGACTTAGTGTTGTGACCGATCTACGAACCAGTCTCTTTTTTGTAAACGCAATCTACGAATTCAAGATCATTCGATTTTCTGGATAGTAAATCCGATTTATCATTGGTTGTGTTGTTGTATCGATTTACGATATTTACACAATTCAGATCAAAGATAATCAAACTAAACCAAGTTAAAACGATCTATATCGACAATTTTTAACCTAATAAACTTTCTAAATATTGTGGACGAGCCTCCGATATATATACCAGTTTTCATTGATAGAAATAATGCGTTTTTATTTAAGTTAATAAACTAAGATTTTCGAAAACCACCACGGTTCTCACACCATTTGAAAGTTAAAGAGTTTTAATATAGAAATTATGAAGAATTCATACTATTTTTAAATTATAAAATTTGTGTATTTATTTGAGATATTTTTTTTAACAAATTCGTGTATCGATAATATGATATGCAATTTTTCCAAACAAAATTACGAATGGAATGACGCAACAGTCCTAACTTATCCAAAATTACAAATTAGACCTTCTTAGTAATTGATCAGCCCATTAAAATTGCATATAAATACTTGAATCATAATTATTTGAAATATTCCAATGTTCGTTATCACTCTGTGTTTTGGCTCTACTTGTGTAGATAGTACATAATATTTTTGTTTATCGATTGATTTACTAAGGGAAGTATAATAGACCACTGTGCACGACAAAGATTATATATATATATATATATTTGTATATAGCATTTTTATTTAATTATATATACTAGTTTTTAACCTCGCGCATAACGCGCGGACTATAAATACGTATTATTTTAAAAAATAAAATAATATTAGTTTTATTTACTTATATTATATTTTATTTTTGAATTTATAATTCATATTTAAAATGAAAATTATAAATAGTTTTTAAAAATATTGAGATAACGGAATTTTAAAAAAATGATTGTGAATAACATCTATTTTTATATTTTCGTGTGTTATATTATAAAATTAAGGGTTGGAGTAATATTTTTGGAAAGAAAATGTTTAAAACAAAAAACAGAACTATTAATTTTTTAACGTTTAAAAAGGAGAATAAAAAAAGTTTTATATTGTTAAATCAAAATGAGATTTTTTTTAAAGTATTGAGATAATTAGATGATATATTTTTTCAAAAGAGATTTGATACAACTTATGTGTTTATATAACAAATGTATTCACCTATATATATACCACGAATTAAAAATAACATGAATCTATATATATTAATAAAGGAGTTTAAAGGATTGTGGTGAAACCACCTCATCTTCCACATCATCATCCATGTGGAAATTTTTAAATTTTTTTTAAGCCACCATAAACTTTATATTACTATTTTTAAAATTTTCATTTATCTATTGACTTTTTACACATTTATATATGTCAAGATTAACACTAATTTTAAATATAAAGTTTTTATAAAATTAGGTGATATAGGCCTTGAATGGTAGGAGTTTTTAGAGTTTTTAGAATCCAAAACAAAAAAAACAACATTCAAGTTTTTACAAAATTACTTTTCCTAAAAACTTGGAAAGCCATTTTAGTGAAAAAATCAATGAAAAACCAAAAACTACTTTTTCTGAGTTTTCAAATATTATAAAATTCAAAAGCCAAAAACCAAAAACTAAAAACCAAAATCCAAAAACTAAAACCAAAAACCCAAAATAAAAGTCATCTCCATTCAAAGCCATAGTTAAAAAAAAAAGGAAAAAAGGTTATTTTTATTATATACAACTATTTTATTTTGATCTTAGTTTATATATTTTCCAGATTTTTATTTTATTTTACGTATAAAAAATATTTCTACATTATTATCATTAAGAAGTTAAAAAAATTGATTCTATAATATAACAAAAATAATTAAATATAACAGATTTTATAAAAATAGGTGATATAGTTAAAAAAGGAAAAACTTTAGTTTTATTATATAGAAATATTTTATTCTGACCTTAGTTTATATGTTTTTGAGTTTTTTTATTTTATTTTGGGTATAAAAATATTTCTAGATTTTATAAAAATAGGTGATATAGTTAAAAAAGAGAAAAGTTTAGTTTTATTATATAGAAATCTTTTATTTTGACCTTAGTTTATATATTTTTGAGATTTTTATTTTATTTTGGGTATAAAAATATTTTTACATTATTATCATTAAAAATTTTAAAAATTGTCTTTATAATATAACCAAAAAAAAAAAAGAAAACGTTCTCTTATAATAAATAAAAATTCAAATTTCCTTTAAAACCATTACTATAATTTATTACATGAATAAAATTAAAAACCTAAAAGAAAAACTAAAACGGACAAGAATGTTAAAGTCCTATTCAATAACCCACTACTCCACTAGCCCACTACTAATCACATTGATTTATCTTTTTTTAATTACTCTAGATATCTTTCGTTATAAGAACACTAAAGGATACGACGGGAAGAATTGTGTCATTAGGGACCAATGGAGATGTGGTGGAGAACGTCAGATTTGGAACTGGCGGCGGAGGGGAAGGTGAAGGACATATGGCGGAGAAAAGTTTACGGAAAAGAAGGGATGGTGGAAAATACGGTGGACATTTCAATAAAATGAATCTAATTGAAGTAAGTTTACTCTCCCATTCTTTTTTTTTTATACGAACATTTTATTTTTATTGTTTTGTTGCGATAATTTTTTTTTGGTAATCATTGTTGTGATAATTTTTTTTTTAATAGAATCATTAAAATCTTTTTCCCCAAAAATGTGATGGACAAATTTGTTTCTCAAAA